CCTTAACAATACATAATAAGTCATTTATGTGTCCAAATTGTGTCTAAGGAAATTAGTTGGAAGGAAGCAATCTATATGGGATGTTATGGAAGGCAGTTTATTATTAGCAGTCTGACTTAAGTTGTTGCCTATTTTTTTTTTTTTTATCAAAACAATAACAGAAAGTTTCAATATTACCACAATATGACAGACATAGCTTTATAAATACTCAGCCGACACATGCACACTGAAATCCCAGCAGGTTTTTGGGTTTTCTACTCAGGTCAGCGTTTGCCAGACACAGCTTTTATTTAGACCCGATTAGTTTTGGGCACAGTCATCGTATGGCCTCTGTTGGCCTGGATAACACTCATTGGTGTCCGCCTCACTGGATCTATTCAGGCGGGTAGGCAGAATTACGTAGAACTGGCAGACCTAGCCCAGACACCTAACCCAAAGTTTCAGGCCAGCCCAGTCAGCAAATGCAATGCCCCCCATCACATCCCATTCCTAAGAGACAGGAGGACCTAGATCCTGCAGGATGAAGTGATCCAAACAGGAAAATAAAAGTCAGAACGTATGAGAGTGACAGAAAAATTACCCAGCAAGTCAACTTTTACACACATCTGAATTACTGACCTCAGTGATCTGTGTGCCAAATGACTGATTAGTCACTCCTTTAACATATTTGGGATTTCAGCTTGTTGGTGGATATACTTTGCAACAAAGCTTAACTGTACAAAAGGAAGTATGTTTTTTAAAAGATAAAAACTGAAACAAAGCCAAATCTGCTTTAGAAACATTAAAATGAATGAGCAGGAGTTTCACATTATAAATAAAAGATAGAAATTGCAGCTATAAATTCTTGTTCAAAGCTAGTCTGGAATGCTTACTTTGCTAAATTGATCCTCTGCTGCCCTCTTGTGATATGGAAGTTTTAGCTTAAGGCAGTGCATTGTCTTGTCACACTACTCAGTTTGTAATAAAGAAGTACTATATGATTAATAAAGTGCTTTCTGCCTTATTGAACCTATTGAAGTTACACACAGAAATTACAATCTGATGAAAATATTAGCTCAATAAAATGTTGCAACAACTTTATTCATTCTTTGTTCAGAAAAATATTGTCTTCAATCATAATTTTTGAAAATAAACTTTTAATATTACAGCTTAAGTGGTTTGGATTATTTTGCAATTATACAGTTTTTCAAATTGTGGCTTAATATATTTTCTACATATCTAATTAAAACCAATGTTTTTGCCTGAGCTGAGGACTCATGTAGAAGGAAAAAAGCAATTTCAAGGCTGGAAATTGTTTTTTAAGTCACTACTGAACAATTCTTTCCTATGATGTTAAAGGAAAAGACAGCGCCATCCTCAGAAATAAAACAAATCTTAATCTAAAATGAAGTTGAGTGAAATAAGAAGAATAAAATTATAACGATCTTTTTTTTTTTTTAGCTTTGAGCAGGATAAGGAATGGAATACTAAATCACATTTGAATTTTTCATCTATTATTAGTGTTAGTAATTATTATTGATATGCTCATTTTTCCCTCTTGTTGTTTTTGTTTGAGCCAGTCAGAGAATAAAATGCAAAAAAAATAAATAAAAATATTTTCAAAATGGCCTTCATAGACTTAGACTTGTTTCCTGATATAAAATTATTGCATAAAATCATATGTCGTTCCTGTGCTGGTATTGAATACAACAGTGGGTATGTTTACCTTATCAAGTGGCTGAAATTATTGCTTAATATTAAGTTAATCGCTGGGCGGGTTTGGGGTAAAAAAACGGCCTCTTCCCTCCAATGGAAAAAAAAGTAATTGTTGCTATGGCAACACAGTGACACCCGTGTGTGGTTGTAGCTCTGTGGGGCAGGGTGACATAAAATTTAACATTTCACATTTCTTAAAACAAATGTATATGGTAAAATAAAATTATTTCAAAGAGGACCTCAAATTTTGCATTTGATTACGTTTTTGTTGGGATCTGGAGATTCTCCACCTTCTCCAGCAGAGTGCGCTGTGGATCCTCCTGGGCTGGAGCCCTCCAGCACAGCTGACGTCCATCAGCTCATCAGGAGACCTGCCTTTATAAGCAGCTGCCAGACCTTCCTTC